TATATATATATTTGTGTGTGTATGTTTCTTTTCTGAAATCCCTGTTTTATACTTAGGCTGTGACACAGACGTTGTTTAAAATTTTTTCCAGATTAGGCAAGAAACTGTTTTTAAGAGACATTTATTATACGATTGACTTGTTGAGACTGGTTTCCATATGAATTGCTCATTTTAACTTTGTTTCGATTTACTCAAGTTTAAATTCCCCTCATCTTTTACGCTTTAGGGATTAAAGCGGATTTATGGAAATTAAAACGTTCGTGCACGTGGCTCCTCTTTTATTTGTTGATACTTTTTTAATAGTTTTTTGTTAAAAATTAATTTATACTTTTGCTTAGTTGCTTAAATTTTGTAGGAGTCACTGGCCCAAAAAGCTTTTAGCAAGTCAACGCCAGTTAGGCATCGGCAATACATCGACTGGAACCGTGATGGGAAAGTGGACTTTGCTGTCGAACGACAACGAACAGGACAAGTACACGAGGGCCAAAGTCCTGGTAAAAATTTAGACGGAGACCCTTTTTCCCTTTGAATATGTGAATTAAAGTGCTAGTTGTCACTTTCTTTAATTTAAAGCCTTGAATTTTTCTCATCTGCTTTCGTATGCCACATTTCTATCACTCTAGTTTTGCTGTAGGAAGGTTTGGAAGAGTGAGTTAGAAAAATTTTTAATTCAATTTTGTCTGTCACTGTCGTTACAGAATGCTACACCGATGGGTAGTCAGTTTATCATGAATCATTTGACATTAAAGGAGAGGTTTATACTTCAAACCTTTTTTGGAATTTAAGATTGCTGGGACCCGTTCGAAGTAGTTTTGAAAAGCTACGTAGCGTTTCAGTTGGCATTCAAAATAAATTAGCACTGAAAAATACAATTCCCTATGAAACTGACACCGGTTTGGCAAATTCCTTATTTAATTTTTGAATTTGGTACAGTTGCAGAATTTTTACACTACAAGAAGTCAAATCTTCAAGAAATCCCTCTAGTTTCTTCGCTAAACGATCTGCCAATGATTGAGGAGGGGGCCACTGAATGTACATATCCTACGGTCCAACCAATTAGTACTCAAGGTTTGCTTATTGTTAAATTCAACTTACATTTCTGAAGACAGTTAGTGACTGTCACCACTCAAAACAAGTTCACCACAGCTACTTTTAGAATTTAAAATGAATCTGCTTAAATTCGAAAACAGCGATGCCATTTCTCCCAGGTGGGCGAATTGGTCACTATCGTAGTTGCGCAGGAGCTCTCCAGAATATGCTTTTTTTTCTTTCAACCTATCCTCATTTTTTATTTTTGCAGTCTTTTATTCCGCTTCATCTATCTTCGGCAGTTTCAGACTTGCCCATATACTTCTACGCTTTTTAACGGTGTAGTCTCGAAATTCCATTCTGACTCTTAAAGCTCTTGGCGACAGCACTTGTCGATAGCGCGAGGTAAACTACAGTGACCGCTTTTTGTAACCGGGACCCTAGAAAGTGAAAAAATTCAATTTTGGTTCTTAAAAAAACTTCCTGTTCATTATCCTGGCATCTCTTAATGATTTTTTCATCTACCAAAAAATACTTCAAAATTGCAAAATTTGCCAGGTTGCCGCTTGACACGCCTACCTTTGCAAACTTGTAATTTAGCTTGTTCCCAATAGAATTTGACAATTTTTGTTTTTTAAATTTGTCATTTCCTGGGTTTTTTAATGCATATTTACTACTTTAATTCTATTGAAAAACCACATAAATACATTAAAACAAGATTTCAAAAAATATTTCGAAAAACAAAGTTCTAGACTTTTTTTAAAAAGACATTTTGTGTAGAATTTTTTGCTCTACAACATAACAAACTTCAGAGATGCCGATTTTTTAATATCGAGAGCTACGAGCCGAAATAGGTTGTAAAACTGAAAAAAAACTCACTATTTTCACAGTAATCCCATATATTTTACAATGGCAAAACCATCCGGAGCCGCTTCCGAAGGCTGCACCTGGCAGCTGCAAATATCCAGTCTCCTTTAAACATTGAAAATGCGCTACCAAAGTTGTACTTTATTTTAATAATATTAACAAATCATTATTCTGCAGAGTTATAAGAGGTAGCTATCAGCATTTTCTACTTCTCATGTTTTATTTCATCGAAACTATATAGCTAGTAAACATTTTAGCGTCGCAAAGAATTCTAAGAACTCACTGCTTTGCCTGGGCAACCGTTAGATTAAGGTTTTCCTCAAAACTTTCTATGTTTCTGGAGAACTGCAGCATATAATTTCAAAAAAGAACAAGTCGAGCCTTACAAAAATTTTAACGAGTACAAGACATTGACAATTCTGAGAGCTTAGGAACCGCGACTTACAAGAAGTAGAAAGGGTTGGAGTGAAGACTACCTGTTTTAACTCTGTAGAACAATAGTTTGTTAATATTATTAAAGTAAAGTACAACTTTGGTAACAAATTTTCAACGTTTAAAGCACACTTAATTTTTATATCAACTGTCTGCTGGTTTCAGAAGCGGCTCAGGACGGTTTCATAATGTAAAATACTTACAATTATTGTGAAAATAATGGGTTTTTTAGTCATACATTCCATTTTGTAACTCTTGATATCAAAAAAACGCCATTTCCAAATTTTGATACATTATAGAGCAAACATTTCTACACAAAATGTGTCTTTTTTCAAAAATTTAGAGGCATCTTTTTTTCTATTTTGTTTGAAATTTTATTTTTATTGTATTTTCGCATATTTTTAAAAGTTTAGGCCATGAGAAATAAGTCGGATTGAAAATAGTCAAACTCTGTTAAGAACAAGCTAAATTACAAGTCTCCGAAGATAGGCGTGTCAAACGGCAACCTGGCAAATTTTGCAACTTTGGGGTGGGGTGTAACTTGGCTGGGAATTCACTTTTTCAGGTTTTTTTCGGCTTTCTTCATACTGGCCTAAACTCTACTACTCAGCAAAAAAATAAAAAAAGTTTGAGAAGTCGAGGTTCAAAAGTGTGCGATTTGGCATGGAATGGCCCATATACATATTCGTTTTTTCTTAACTTGTTTTAAACATTTTTCTGCCCTAAATACAAAGTATTCTAATCCGATTATTCTCGTCTTTGACATCACAAAGGATTTTTTCACTGTTGAAATGCAGCCTGCAGACGCCATAACTTTTTACAATAAAATAATTTGCTTCCTCTTCATGGTAAAATGCTTACCGTTATTCCTTTAAATTTTACTTTCTAACAGTGTTTTGGAAATTTGAAGTAATTTACTTTCTAGTGAGAGGTACCTTTACTCATGCGCAGAGTCTGAACACTGCTCTAAAAAATAATCTGGAAAACAAGCTACTAGTCATCTCCTGTTCATGATTCAGCTTCTCCACAGGTCGAAGCCTAAAAATTGAGAAAACGATGATATTTCCATCTTAGATAAGAAATCTATAGCTCGAGGTAAACGAAAAATTCGTTAATATCAAAGCCTCACACTTATTCAAAAAGGAGTTTTACTCTTGTTGCTATTTTAGTTGGGAAATAGACTTTTGAGGATATCCAGTTTTTGTCGAGCAGAGTTAAAAGAAGAATATAAGTGACTCAAGAAAAATACAGGGCTGTTGCTTCTTTTAAAAGAATAATTTCTCACAGAGCGAAAAACGAAATTCGTAAGTCTGAAAGTGTACAAAATTTGAACGGTTCTTATTTCTTTAGAATAATTAAAATTAAATTTTTATATGACTGCTCTCGATCTCGTTTTGTCTTATCTTGTTGGCTAATTCTGTTACACACGCGTTTATGTGTTTAACAACACTTGTTTTAAATGATGCACTTATATAAACCGATCCTCTACTGGGTTTTTTTTTTTTGGCTTGAAGCTCTAGATGTACTCCTTGGCTATTTGCATCTTTACCTGGCTTATTTTTGGAAATTGCGGATTTTTTGAAATTGTCAATTTCACCAGAATTATACCTATGTTTTTTTCTCTGTCTTATATCATTATTTCGATCCTTGAATTTGTCGTCGAGATATTCGCTGAAATATGACGTTGGGGATGATTTCATCAATTACTACTTTTCTTTACTATTGTTCAAAAATTGAGCTAGCCAACAACACACAATTTCTTTCGCTTTCTGCATATAGGTTCCTCTCGGTGTGCTTTTAAGTGTCATCTTTTAGGGAGGTTTCTCCAGAATTTTTTTTTTTATTTTTTTGAAGACTTGGTATTTGTAAACACAGGTACGTTGTTTTTTTACGTGATTATTAATTTTTTTCACTTAATATTTTATTTAAATCAACTATTTGTAGAAAGTTTGTTATTGTTATACTTACCGCAGTTGTGGCTACGTGCTGCATCTTGAATTTTTTACATTCTTCTGTACTATACAAAAGAGGTAAAAAATAAGAAAAGAAATTAGCCCGCACTCCAGCAAATAGCTCAGCGAAGGCCGCTAGATTCCAGGAAAATTTGGCAACTGTTATGTATCCTTAAATGTGACAAACAGACTGACGCCAAAGCAGTCCCAAAACTCCTTGAACAAGTCACTGAAAAACGCTAGTTTAGCCTTAAACTGCCGTTTTTTTCACCAGTCAGCAAGAGACATTACCGTATCCCCCTGCCGTCCCTTAATATACACAAAGAAAAAGTAGCAGTGAAGGCTCCTATATTCATAAGGTCCCTTCACGTTTTCCTAAATTTTGGTAGGAAAGTGGGCTGTTTCTGTACCGAGAATATGAAAAATAATAAACGCTGATTTTCTTCCTTTATTTCCTTTTTTAAAAATATTTTTCCACCATTATTTTTGGATGCTTTCCCATTCGATAGAGAAGTGAGTTTCTTAACTTCTCCACTTAAAACTGTGTTTTTTACATCCAGCTGCTCAGGGAACCCCTTCAATTTTTTTAATATATTTCTTATCTCCTCTTCGTATAGATTACAAAAAAGAAATAATAACAGACTTCAATGAATATGAACAAAATCATAGCAGCGATTAAGTTAAAAAATATCTGTTAAAAATAAAAATCCTGTCATACTTCTGCTAATGGCTCGAAGAAATTGGGCGGGGAAGCGAGAAATTTAGAATACAATGGGGAAACATCCGTAAACAATATGAGATTATTAACGCATCATGGACACAACTAAAATAAAAGTGTAGCTCACCTTTACAGAGGTCAGTTGGTTAACCTCCGGCTGTCTTTGTGCAACACAATGGCATTGGGCCAGAACAGTTGGAGTTTCTTCAGAAGAAGGCTTTTCTGCTCGCAAAAATTTCCGCACTAAATTAAAAATGAAGCCACCTATAGTCTTTCATCTGATATTTTCGATATTTGAAAATACGCCTGTAATCCTGCCTTGCGGGAGCCGCATCCTAAAAATATTGCAGCAGCAGAGGGTTGTGATTCTAGCATTTCTACTTCCCCAACTTTAAGCGGTGCGTTCTTTCCTCAAATTGCTATTATTTGAAGTAATGAGTCGAAATATCTGCGCCGCAATTGAATAGACGTGAAAGAATACTGAAAGGCCGTTAAGCTCGCTGAAGTCTCGCCTAATTTTATCTAACTTAACTATATCTCGTTAAAGCAACTAGATGAATCCACTGTGGAACTTGAGAGATAAAGTTTTTGATCCTTATTTGAATGAAATCTGGCGATGCAAGAGAAATAATTTTTCTTTTGTGAACTATTTCGGTTTATAGGATTGACTCCTGGTGAACACGCCCGCCCAAGCAGTTCAGCTCCACTTCGCCGAGCAAGACAACGTATTCGAAATTTATGTACAATGCTATAATCGTTCTCGATTTCTGACCAGTGCGACTTGTCATGACGAAACTAACAATACTTCTACGAACGAAAAGAAGATTATTTCCTATTTCAAAATGTAAGCCAATGTTTCACGGCAGCAGTACGGTGCAAATGTTTGGAACTTATTGGCTAGTAGTTGCTCGTTGTGATAAGACTTTCGTCTTATTTTTGATTTTGGTTTTGGAATTAAAACGAGTGATGTTTCATGTCTGTTTATTTAATTAACTAATTCCGGTATACATAGTCTGAGAATCTAGCCTTATTTTGTTAACAGGACAGTAAATGGAAAGCATTTTTTGCTTAACAAAGTTTATTGTTGCTGAATCTTCTGTGATTTTATTACTTGTTATTCATGACCGTTCTTTATTCCTCTTGCATTACCTGTATATGGCACTTACATGAGATTATGCTTTTTACATTCTCTTAATCCTGTTTCACTTGATATTATTTGCCAGATTGCTCGACAAACTTCTAAATTTGCTCAGATGGGCCAAATGAATCAATAAAACACAATTTGACTCGTTTTAATTAAAGACCTCCACTGTTTATATATAATGGCTTAATTCTGATAGAATAGAGCTAAATGGATGGAACAGAGCGACCCACGTATGTACTAATATTGTCCCTAGTCTCC